AATTAAAAAATAGAAGCAACATTCAAACATCATTCGGGTGGGGACGGATCCCAATCTTTAACCCCAGGCCTGGCGGGATAGCCAGATCTTAAGGGCTGTGCCTTCATTTAATTATTAAATTGCTATGCTACTCATCTCATTATGCAAAGTGACTTTACATTCATAAGAACTGAGTAACAATAAGGTTTCCTAGAATCCTAAAGCTAGAGTGAGCAATTAAGGTCATAGAATGCAAAACCTGCCCAATGCAAAATTGAAATTCAAAGATTCCAAGGATAATTTCTAAGCCTTCCTTCCTTCCTTCCTTCCTTCCTTCCTTCCTTCCTTCCTTCCTTCCTTCCTTCCTTCCTTCCTTCCGAGATGCTTGAAATATTTAAAAATGTAAAGCAAAAGGTTGAGGTTGTAACTTTTGTGTACTCTATTGACCTGAAAAAAGTTGGAAAACACTACTTACTTACTTACTTACTTACTTACTTACTTACTTACTTACTTCTTTTCTATTTTTAAAGTACATCATATTGTTGGAGTTGCATGGAGTTTTTCTTTTATTTAATACGATCAATTAACAGGTAAGAAAGCATGGTCTTTCTATGAATCATATAAATAGTTGCAATTTCACATTTCTCTCTCTCTTTTTAAAGGGGATCTGCCATTGCAAAAATCATAGGCCAAAATACCAAAAGCTCCAACCAGTTTGACCCAATTGTCAAGATGTGGGTATTTGAAGAACTAATCAATGGTCGAAAACTCACCGAGATCATTAACCAAGAACATGAAAATGTGAAATATCTCCCAGGGCATAAATTACCTCCAAACGTGGTAAGTGACAGTAAAACATATCAGGAAGGTTTCAGTTTTAAATTATATTCCAGTTAAGTTCAAAGAAAGTAGAACAAATAAGTAATTTAGGCAAAAACAAATTACAACTCTCAAATTCAAAATGTGACATTGAAACTTAAAGGACATAGATGAGATGGACCAATTGACTTAACGTGATTGCCAGAATTTTTTTTTAAATTCCAAGCAGAGTGTGCCATATAAAATAAACTAGCACTAATTATTCATTGTTGTCATAATGTATGTTCAGCTGCAGCACCCTGCATCTGATCTCTTCTCAGCATGTTATTTTATTTCATTATTTTAAACAATTTACAGTATATAGCTACCCATTTCACAACAGTGGCTCTAAGGTGTGCCTATTAAAATAAAAAACACCACCGTGTTTTCTCCGCTTACAGCCACCTGTCTAGTAGCCATTTGAAATTACAGCAGCATTGAAAAAAGGTGACCTATGACTGGTTCTTGTGCCTACAATCCTTGATGGGTGGGTTGGTTCGGTGCCTCAAAAATTTTGCGCATGCTTTGCTTGCGCGCACACCAGACGCGCTCGCAGATAAAAAGGTCTGCGGATGTGCAAAACCTTACAAATGAAAAAAATTTGCAATGAAAATTATTCTGCGCATGCGCAGAACTGAAAAACAACATGGCGACCCCGTTAGGAGAACCAGTTCGGGGACGTGGCAGGCCTGGGTTGTTGATGGTTCCAGCAACCCAAGCCGCCAAGTTACTACCAGTTCGGCCAAACGGGGCCAAACCGATAGGAACCCACCTCTGATCCTTTGAGTATTCTCACAGTCACAGGATGAAAAATCAGGAGCTTGGCAATTGGCATATATTTGCGATGGTTGCCGTGTCCCAGGATCACACAATTGTCATTTGTGACCTTTCCAGCTGGCTTCCAACAAGCAATGTCGATGGGGGAAGCTGGGTTTGCTGAATGACTGTGTGACGTGCATAACAACTGCAGTGATTCGCTTAATAACCGTGGCAAAAGTCATAAAATTAGCTGCAACTCACTTAGCAATTCCCTTGCTTAACAATGGAAATACTGGTCCAATTGTGGTTATAAATTAAGAACTACCTGGACCTATAAAAAAATTACATTCCAAAAAGAAATGATATAAGTGTGAGATTAACAAAAACCTTTCATTTTTAATTCCAAAAGTGGAATGAAAGACATAACCAGACTCAATTAACCTGCCCCCCCAAAATGCAAGAATTGGCAATTAGTAGCCAAAAAACAGGCCTGTTTTTTTGCTGGCAAGAAAGAACCAAGATAAAGAGCCATAACATACATACAGTGCACATGATATACCACCAGGACATAGGCACATAGGCACAGGTGCAGTGATGCCATTCTGGGGCAAAGCCTTCATTCCTTTTTCCCACTTTGTTGGAGACCCCACTGCACATTAACAGAATACTGGACCAAAATGTCTCAGGCCATTTTCATTGGTGAAATTTAAATCTGCCTGTCCCTAAAGAATTCTGCACAGGTAGACCACAATTTATGTTGCTCAATGTGACAGTCCTTAAGTGAATCACTGCAGTTCGTAACATAGCTGATAATTGAATCTGGCTTCCACTGACTTTGCTAGTCAGAAGGTTGCAAAAGGAGATCACGTGGCACCAGAGCACTGCAAGCGTCATAAATGTGAACCAGTTGCCAAGCATCCAAATTTTGATTGCGTGACCACGGGGATGCTGCAATGGTCGTAACTGTGAAAAGCAGTCCTAAGTCACTTTTTTTCAGTGCCGATGTAACTTCAAGCAGTCGCTAAATGAAGTGTAGTAAGTTGAGGACTAGCTGTATTGTCAATGTAAAGCTGTGTAGTTTTTCCTTCTGAATTAACTGCAAGAGAAGCCCTTTCTTCTTTGTGGCAGGAACAAAATTCTGTATGGGATGTTCTCAAATATCTGAGGGCCAGCCTGGGGAGGGAAAAAAAGGCCTCCCCTGCCCCCCCCAAAGTTCGTTTCTGAACTTCTGGTGGGCCCGTTGGGCCGTTTCCAGCCTCCGGAGGGCCTCCGGGGCAGGGGAGGCCATTTTCTCCCAGGAAAGGCTCTGGAGTCTGGGGAGGGCAAAAACAGACCTACCGGGCCCACTGCAAGTCGGGAAATGGACTGTTTCCTGCCTCCGGCGGGCCTGAGAGAGTGTAGGAGGCCATTTTCTCGCTCCTCAGGCTCCAAGAAAGCCATGCGCAGGGGGCAGTGGAGGGGGTCGTGTGCACATGCATAGGTGGGCACAATGCAGGAAGTTATTTAATTACGGGTGTGTGCTTTAGGCACCCGAGGGAAACAAGGTTCACCATCATTGAACTACCATATGTGGCCAAAGCCTCTTGTTTTTTTTAAGGAATCTGAATTACCTGTTGCAATTGCTGTAGGAAACAAGCACTGGTGTTATGTGTACAAACTGCATGCTTTTAAACACCTGTGTGCAAACATCGCAATAAAGATAAGTACATGTGATATTTAGATTGTAGCCAAGCCTATGTTCCAGCTCTCTGCATTTTTCACTTTTGCACAAACTGTTGAGCAAACAAATATTTATGTCTTGTTCTATGTTCTCTGTGCTTGATTTTGTTGTGGTAAACATCTCCTGCGGTGTCTTCCTCATTCAGTATTTGGTAGGAGAATGCTGTAATCTTTTTTCTTCTCAGGTTGCTGTACCAGAAGTAGTAGAAGCAGCAGAGGAAGCTGATATTTTAATATTTGTCGTACCTCATCAGTTTATTCCCAAAATTTGCGAGCAACTTACTGGTCATGTAAAAGCAGGAGCAATTGGGATTTCACTGATCAAGGTAAGGAACAGCATTTTCTTGGGAAAGGTGTCAGCTCCAGCGAGCCCAGAGGCCCGGAGCTGCCATTCGGGCAGGGGGAAGCTATGGGAGCTGACTGCTGGGGATCTATGTTAATAATGGTCCTTTTTTGACATGTGTTTTAAAATATCAGTATAAGTTTGTTATTTTATTATAAACCCCCTTAAATGCTACTTCTGGGAGAAAGCTGGAGTATACAGCAATTAAAAAATAAACAGTTAAATAAATACACATACCCATTTTAAAAATAACTGATAAAAATGCATGAAGTATTGCTCAGTTTACACCACTGCATTAAGCCATAGTTTGTATAACCATGGTTTATGGAACAAATCACATTTAACTGAGCTTATGGTTTATCCAAAATATAAATCACAGTTTAAAAAAATCACAATGGATAAGTTCATACAATCTAGAAACCATAAAAACTACTGTTGGGAGAAATATCCATCGGGTTCAACTCCAAGCCAGGAGAACAGCACTGAAGACAAAATGGAGGCTAGAAGCGGATTGGAAAGAGGGTCCATTTATTGATGAAGCAGAACCACCAAGCACATGTGATTCTGGGCAGCTGACAACATGGAGTTGAATGTGTGTGTGTAGGGGGGGTGTTTAGCTTCTCTTCCACTTTGCGGTTGAGCCTTCTGTTCCTGTGCAAGAACATCAGAGGTGGGTTTCTGCCGGTTCGCCCCAGATCTGGAAAATCAGTAGTGGCAGCAGTGGGAGGCTCCATCCACCTGCCCCAACGCTTCACACAAGCACGTATGAGCAAACCGGTAGTAAAATAAATCAAAACCCACCACTGAAGAACATGTATTCCTGTGGTGGGTTTAAAATTTTTTTGGAAACTCTTCTGTAGATGTGGCCTGCTTTGTGGGAGTGGCTTGCCAGCCATGTGACTGGGTGGGAGTGGCTTGCCAGCCATGTGACTGAGTGGGAGTGGCCAACTTGTAAAATGTGGTGAAACTCACTTAACAACGCCCTTGCTTAGCAACCAAAATGTTGGTTCAGAAACTCTGGCATTTGAAGCATGC